CTTATGGGTACAGGGGGGGGTGAGTAATCCAAGCCCCCCCCCCCCCCCCCCCGCCCGCCCGCCCCGCCCCGCAACAGGCGGGTTCAGCTCGATCGCGCAGATGGAGAACGACGCTCGGCTCGTCTTCTTCGTGCGCGGCGACAATGGCTTCCCATCGCTAGGCGCGCACTCCCCCCTCGGCGCAGACCGGGAGACACGCGGACACCCCCCCGCCTTCCCCTTCCCGGCACGAGGTCAAGAAATGGAGCGGCACGATGAGCGACGGATACAGGAGGGAATGGGAGGGAGGGGGCTTTTGGAGGGAACCAAACCTGGCACACCTGTGGGAGGCCCTCGAGGCTCAGCCACAGCTGGCGAATAGAGAGAGGCGCGCGAGAGCATTGGAGGTCTGTGAGGAGGCAGGAGTCAGAGAGCGCAACACCTCATTCCTCGACGCACCGGGCCGGCGCGCCGGGGCCCGCATGGACACGATGTATCGGCCCTTGCCCCCGCTCCCTCAGGCACGCTCGAGCTGCGCAGCTTGCGCGTCGAGGCGAACGCGCTGGCGTGGTGGGACGTGTTTGACGGCGCCATCGACCTCGCCTTCAAGAAGGACGACCCGCCGCGCATCGCCTGGGACATCGAGGTTGCCCTCGGCCACGCGCGGCTGCCGCTCCCCGACTGCATCGAGGACACCTTCCTCGCGTGGCTCACCGGCACAGTGATGCGCTCCTTCAACCGCGCCTATCCGCTGCACATCGCCATCGACCCCGCGGGCGCATCCTCCTCCGAACGCGAGGAGCAGGACGGCGAGGCGGCCGGCGGCGAGGCTTGCTCCGCGCCCGCCCCGGCGGCGGTCGAGCTGCCGCCCATCAGCGAGGCGGAGCAGCGGGCGTACGACGGCCTCTTCAGCTCCGCCGCCAAGGGCTGCGCGACCGTGGGCCGCGCCGCGGCGGCGCCCGTCTTTGCGTCTGCGTCGGTGGGCGAGGGGGACGTGGACCACATCTGGGGGCTGTGCGTGTCGGCGCGCGGCTCCGACACGGCGGCCAGCCGGTCCGAGGACGAGCTGAGCTCAGCTGAGTTCGCGGCGGCGCTACACCTCGCCGCCGCCAAAGTGGGCGACCTCCTGCCCGGCGGGCTGCCTCTTAGCATGCCCGGCAGCCTCGCGCTGTACATCTCCGAGGCGGAGGAGGCGGCCGAGGCGGCCGAGGCGCTGCGCAAAGACGCCGCTCGGCGGATGGCGCGCGCCGCGTCGTCGTCGCCGGTAGACTAGACATCGCGCTGAAGGCCGTCCGTGGACGCGGACGAGACGGGTCCTCACGGGACACGGGGTCGCGGGTCCAACCAAGGGAATTTTGAGGGAGAATTAGGGATGGGGGCAAGAGGGCGTGTAGGTAGGGATCAGAGCGTTTGTTTGTGAAAGGGTCTCGATTCGAAAATTCTCATAAAGTACGAACCTCGAGTGTACACAGTGCGGCGGAGCCTGCCGGAAAAAATCCGGGGTTTAGGCTAGTTCGATTTCACTCTGACACGCTAATCTTGAAAACGTCCAACGGAGCTCCGTGTTGCTTCCAGCGCCATCCCCCGCGCTTCCTGCGGCCATGGCCGATGCTCCTAGTATGGGAGGTCATCGGGCTACCGCGAGAGCGGCCCAGCTCGTCGACATCGTCCGATGATGGTGCCTCAAAGTCAGCCTTCGGAGGCTATCGTGGCGTCGAGCCGGCAGTAGCCGCGACATGTGGTTCCACCACCCCTCGTAGGCTTTGCCTCTGACCGCCACCGTTCCCAGGCTGCCTAATGGGATGGAAAGGGAGGCTGGGCGAGCGTATAGAAGCGTGCTCGACCTCGTCGTGGCAACCTGTACGGCAGCGCTGGTAGGCGCGATGAGCGTCGTGCCACCTGACCCAAGACGGGTCGCAGGCGTCGTACCGAGCGCGTCGAGACCGTGTCATGATGTGATCTGCACGGGTGAATCACGTCGGCGTCAAAGGAGCGACGCGCGACCTGTCAGAGCTTGATCTCTGATCTCAGCGACGTCGAGTCGTCTCCGGCGCGCGACAAAGGTACATCCCCAGGACGCGCAGAGGCAGCTGCTACCCC